CCATGTTAGTTCAAATGTTGCATAGGATTTTATGGGAGATATGGAAAACTAAGTGTTTTTTGAAGGGCATTCTTAACTCCATATGTTATACAGCAATCTGGAGAACTTCAAATGAAATTTATATTCTAGTTTGTTCTGTGGATAAGAAATGCAACAGTGTGTAAATGGCTTGCAATGCTTGCTCAAGATACATTCCTAGGCACTTACATACACTGTCACACAGTGATGGGCAGAACCTGGACCATGTGAAATCCTCTCTGTGTAGTTTGTTAGGTAAAGAAATACTGTTGTTACAGTCCCATCTTCTCTTCTGTAGGCTCAGATGTCCTTGTTTGCTCAACCTGTCATTACACACTCGCTCTCCCTAGGCTTCACTGATATCTAAGCAATCTCCATTGGGCCACTTTACCTGTGTAATCTATGGACTTGCTGGCGGCCTCCAATCTGCTGACTGTATGGCTTTCCATAGTCTGCATTGCCTCTGCTCCTGGCACAGGAGAGTTAGAGATCTTTGGTGGTTCTTATTTGCTAGGATAAGAGGGCTTGTAAATTCAAAGCCCAGCAGTGGGAAATGGAAGTGCTATGAGCCCCTGAAAGGTATGGATCAACAGGAGCAAAACAGAATGATAAAATCTGGTTTCTCAGAGGAACTCATCAACTGAAACTTTGCTTACCAGTAGAACTTGTGCAAACAGCTTAGCTACCCAGTAAATCCTGTGGAGATGCAAGAACCGTAAGGTTTTACCTGTAAAAGCGGGATGCAGCCCTGTGTCAGAAGCACAGGCTGATTTTCAAGTACGTCCAAATGTGGCATTGCTACAAAGGAGAAAGCCAGCTCTGAAGGGCTTAGCCCTGTATTACTTCAAGAGTTGCAGTGTTCATTTTCACACAGTTTAGTTATTATATCAGAATCTGCAGTGGAAAATACCCATCTGTGAAGTCACACTGATTTCTCCTGCTCCTGGGATTACTCTAAAGAACTGAGAGTTTGAGTCAGACTCCTGGTGTTCTGGTTCCGAGCTGCAGATGTTCACTGCAGCCTTTGTGCTCTGTCGTGGATGGTGCATCGATGCTTTGAGCTCAGGCTTCTCTGCAGCCCCCCACTTCACTGTTGGGCTGTAAGGCCGCTGTGTCCCTGCTTGCCACAGCCAAGGGGAGATCTGGCAATTCAAGTTGAGTGCCCGGCTCTGCTGCAGGTGCCCTCTGTGGCTTTGGTGGCCAGTCCTGCAGTTCCCAGATGGTCCATTTGTATGTTGTCAGTGTATGTGAGAATACTTAGCATCCCTCCTGCCTGGAAAATTTCACCTGTTTTCAGGAGATAGGATCAGGGGGTCACACCTTCCACCATAAATTGCCTTTTGATCTGGGACACTTTCCCTCATCAGTGTAAAATCCTCTCAAAGCTCTGTCCCAGAGGTGGTTTTAAGAGAATAAAAGCAGCTTTACAAGCAAATTCCTCTTACAACAGTCATCAGCCATCATCATTTATCCTGCACACCATACACAGTGTTGTACCATGCCTGGCTCAAGGGTCCAAGGATTCTTCAAGTAAAAAATGTATAAAGGCATCTAAGGAAAACTGTTCTTCTGCCATCTGTTCTGAAACCCAGAACCCTGCATACCTCTTGTCTGCTTTCTAAAAGGAAAGAAAAACAAATTTAAAAAAGCATGTCTATTTTGCCCATGTAATGTGGGTACGATACCATCTTCTCACATCCCAGACATAAAGGAAGGAAAATGCAGCTCTGCTCAACCAGAAAATTCTCCAACCAGTAATTCTTTTCTCCTGATCTAGTGAGCTCCTGGGGAATTGCAAGGGGGAGGGGGGGTATTCTTAATATTACTATTATTATGGTAAACTGCTCCAGGAATGGTTTCAACAAAAGAAGTAAACCTTACATTGTATTCAGATAATGTTCTTAACTTCTCAACAAGATTTACTAAATTGCGCGCTGGGAATTATGCAAATGAAACATTTGGTCAAAATGTTGCAGGATTACTGGGGGGAAAAAAAAAAAGAAAAAACACCTTTTTTAAAAAAATCTCATTAAGAGTGCTAAAATTGCATGTTCTAATATCAAATACATGTGCCTTTGTGTGATGAATATCTCACTGGTAGTAATATGTTCTGTTACGTTCCCTGCTCCATTGTCAGTGGTCTTTGCAACTTTCGGTGACAAGTGCTACTCCTTATATGTTTTTTTCTGAACACTTCACATTGTTGTATTCTTACTGGAAGTGGAATTAAGTACAGGCAATGGGCAAACCATTGTAGTATGATGGCAATTAACAGCAAATAATGGGCCATTGCTGAATATTTGCAACATATTTCTGCCTGTCTTTGTTTTGCTCAATGCAGTATAATTAGCTCATGGATTTTTCTTAGTATGACTGGGAAAGTTGTGTGGGTCTTATGATATAGTTCGTTTCCTAGATCTGTAATGATTTACATACAGACAGCTTAGACTCTATTAATGCTAATAAAAATGCTGCAAGGACATCCTGTAGCATACACTTTATTAAACTGTACATAGCTTTCTTAGAGAGCTTCTGTTTATTTGCATTTCCTGAAAATAAAATATAGTGCCTTTAGCACTGAATATTTAAATCCAGCCTCCTTTTCCCTGTTCCTGTCCCTCTCTATGCATTTCTAATGCTTCTATCACAATGGGATCTGAGTACTATATGCAACAGGAAATAGAGCAGAAAAATGTCCATGAAGAAGTAAGTGGCTCTCCCCTTCTGTGATTCAGGTTAAAACTGCTTACATTTTAGTTCCTTGAAAAGAAACTGGTGTGCTGTTTGGTGCTTGTGCTCATTACAGCCACAGTTAAGCCAGGCTGGGGCTTGGGGCTGGCAAGACCCTCCCATCTCCTGTGCTTCAGTGAGCAAAAAGGCAGGAAAAGTGCAGAGACCTTGGGTTTGGTTTTCTTCTCTTTTTCTTCCACCTTTGTTAAGGAAAAACTTTGTTAAGGATGGAGGGCTGGTTTTATCCTAACATGTTATAGGTCCTTTGGAGCTGTGCAGACACACAGCGATAGAGACAGACCCACAACTGTGTGTCCCATGTTACGCTTTCTAAGATGGGAACCCCACACTGGCTCAAACCTGGAGGTCCAGCAGTGGCTTCCTACATTTTCACTTACCTTAGGCCTAGCTACAAGTGTGTTCAGGGTGGGTTAGAACTTGAACTCCCTGACTTGAGCTATGCATTTGCCACAGACATTCACTGAATTCAACTTTCAGGCCTTTCCTCCTGGCAGGTTGAAAGCTGACTTTCTGAAGTGGGGGCTGTGGACTTCAGTTGTTGACCTGTTGTTGCCATCGTTAAAGCACAGTTGTACAAGCAAAGTTTGATTTTAATACACTCTTATTCACCCACAGATTTGCTAATGAAAATTGGATTCGTTCATGTCTACTTGGGTCCCTATTACAGATATCCCCTGGGCCCCACAAAAACCTGTATAAACCATTGTGTGCATCATGAGGGCACTTTCACCGTGTCCCCAGTACCTCTTTTAAGTGATTATACCAGTGTAAGTCCAATCTGTTTTTCTTGGTACTAACAGCCTAACAAGGAGTGAATCCTGTAGAGAAGAGACAGATGAAACTGTCTCCATTCCCTGACCTTCAGCTCCAGAAGTGTAGGTGCAGCACGAATCAATCCTGGCAGTGTCTAGTAATAACTGACATTATTAGCTGTTAACAGGAACAGACTATTTGGTGGAGGCAGTACAAAGAACACAGTGGACAAACTTGGTAATGATCAGGACAAAGGCATCAAAGGAGATTCGCAAGCCAGGGGACCTGATATTATTCTGCACCAACACATTCAGTATCTTGTCAGCCTCCCGCATCAGGAGAGGAAGAAATAGCTGTAGGTCACATATAGAAGGAGTGCAAGAGCAGCCCACAGTCCCATCCCAATTCCTTTGCCCGACAAAGCAAAGCCTCCTCTTCTCTTGGGAAATGACCTTCACTCCCCAAACTGGGGCTGTTTGGGGATTGCACGAGTCTCCTGCATCACCCTGAGGCCACTCGGACTCCTCCAAGCTGCTGTAGCAGAGATGCTAACATGCAAGGTTTCTATTATCTTCCCACTACTTTGTTGTATTCATAGACCCATTGGGGAAAAATTTATGCACGTCGCTTTTACACTGCCAAGACAGTTTGTGATGGTGTGGGGGGTGGTAATTTATTTGTACCTTGCACTTTCAGGAATAGTCATGCTGTTGCAAGAACTTCTTTCAGCATTTGATCAGAAAATTAAATTTGGGTTTAAAGAGATAGTCGGGGTTGCTAGGACAACGTATTAACCTCCCTGTTTTATTTTCTGCGCTCTGTATCCAAGGTTCATGTAACTCATCATGCTGCATTCCGTTTGTGGTGGTGTTCTCAAAGTATGGGAGGGAAGGGGTTTCAAAAGCAATGTGTCAAGCACACATTTCCTCAACAAATAGCCACAGGAAGTGGTACCATCCCACTGACATTCCTGGCCTTGTCAAGCCAGCAGATTTGGACAAAGAGGGAGCGAACAGCCCCAGTTCTCCAAATTTCATGGGCATATTTATGTGCAGTCACAGGGACTGAGAAAGAGGATGTGGGATCTTGCAGGCAGCATTTTTGGAAGTTATTAATGCCTGGGAGGCTCCGGGTATGGCTGAACAGTTTGGACACTTTAAGGTGCCTGGGGTTTCAAGAACATCTAAACAGCATTTTTTTTGTGCTGTATAGGTTCTTCCCCATCCTAAGACAAAGAGTCAGAATTTCAGTGGTTCCTAGAAAATTGTCATGAATAAAATAAGAGAAAAATAATTGAAAATATGTAGAATATACTTTTCCTGGCTTTTCACCAATTCTTTGCCATACAGCTCACTTGTCAAAATTGACAGCAGCATTACATTTATGCAGCTTTCAGGCTCAGATCTTTAAAGTTGTTTAAACATCCATATGGCTTTTGTCCCAAAGTTATCGATTGCTGTCTTTGTTATTTCATCCAGATTCGTTCCGATAAGGACAAAGAGATCCATATCAGATACAGCATCACTGGAGTGGGAGCCGACCAGCCACCAATGGAAGTCTTCAGCATTGACCCTGTGTCTGGCAGGATGTATGTGACTCGCCCGATGGACAGAGAAGAAAGAGCTTCCTACCATGTAAGCATAAAACTGGGTTCACAAGCTCACAGTGAAACTGTAGCAGCATTGCTGGGGTCAAGGAGGGACACGCAGCTTTGAGAAGACTGGGTTTTTGTTCAACGTCAGAGCCCAGATCGCAGTTTGGACGGGCTCCCTGTTTCAGCAGACCTGAGGAGCTGACTGCACAGGGGTGCCTGGGCTTAACCGACAGTACGAGTCTCTGTCTCACTCTGCTGGAGCAATTGTGTGTGTGTATGGAGACACTGGCTTTGTTTCTGCTTTCTGTTAATGTAACCTGCTAAATCAGCCAAACCAGTGCAAATTGGCATTAAACTGATGTGCTTTTCAGACAGAGGCATTTCTTTAAAGGGGTGCAACTTCACACTGTTTTTTAAATCCATGCAAGTTTATGTGCAGACCAAAACCCCCAAAACGATGAGAAGCCGGTCTCTGTGTTAGCATGCCTTGAGAAAATATTAATTTAAGAATCATTTACTGCAGTTAAACAGGCAATAATTGATATAGCCATTTTTCATTTTAAATCACTTGGAGTTGTTCAGGCAGTATGATGGGGGTGTGTCAGATAGGTTTTTAAATATGCAGATAGCTAATATTAAATATGAGGAAATTAATTAAGATTAATTACACTTAAAAGTGGCACCTCATGCTAGTTCATAAAATGCTCTACCTGCAGAATATTTAGAGTGTAATTGGCCGTTATGTTTTGATATAAATCCCAGCCCCTATATTGCACAGCATAATTGCACAGCAGGTACAGTCCTGCAGATTGCTAAAAAATATGTTGTACTTTGCATGCTAGCCCTGCAAAATCTCAAGCACTTCCTGCATCTTTGCTTTAGTTCTCTCCTGGAGTGGTTGTGAAAGGTTGTTTCATGTATTGCTTTGTATCAGCATTAATCACATCTATCTATCTAGCCACAACAGCATCATAATAGCCCTTCCCTGGGATGCTCTAATGTCAGTGAAGAGGTGCGGGTCACTTCCAGTGACACCATATTCCTAACTGCACCGTCAGAGATGCACATTCTGACAGCTTTATCATGTATCCAGTCAACCATGTTGACACTGCTCCTGGATTGTGGTGGAAGGATAGAGAAAATAGATTACCTCTTTAGTTGGGTGGAAAAAGAGATTTCCCCTGGGTAAAAGAAGATCTGAAGGAAAATTATCTTCTGTGAGCAAGAACAATTATTTTGCTTGTTGTGCCTAGGAAAATATGAAGAGAGGTTGTTTTGGAAAAGGAATGTTTGAGATACGGCGCGTGTCATCTCAGCACTGTTGATATTATTTCAGCAGTGCCAGGTTATTATAACAGTGTAGTCAGTAATACAATACTCAAGTTAACACTTCTGATGGAGCCACTGTGATTTCTACTATGAGACACTCTCAGTCAAAAACATAAGATGAAAAAGATACTGTCCTCCATAATAACAAATCATGTGTTCCCTAATAACAAACTTAACCTTGTGGTTACAGTGAATTCAGTAAACTTAATTCTTGCCTTGGCAAGAGTGGCTGGATAAGTGTGCCTCATATGCACTGCAGGACTTCCAGTCTTTTCTATTCCTTACAGAAACCTTGAACCAGTGACATCCGTATGTAAATAAGCATATTCACTCTCTAAAGGTTACAGGAAAACGTAGCTTATAGAGTAACTGATAAGTATGTTGTGAGACCTTATAGACAGGACTAGTGAGTGATAGAGCATTTTATTAGCAGAACAGTAGAAGGTGATGGGGAACATTTTAAGCCATGGCTGTAAACAACCTTTAGATCCTTCAGCCTCAGTAGCAATGGATTGATGATTTATTGAACCAGCAACTGTTTATTTGAAAACCCTTTATAAAGCATTTATAAATATACCATGCACAAAACAGTGACTCACTAGTGCAGAAACTTAGAATAGCAATGAACCATCCTAGAGACCGGAAAAATTAGGCCAGCTTCCAGAAAGAAGATAGTGTCCAAAGTGTTGGTTGTTGCAAGTTTTGGAAAGGTAAGGAAATTATGCCACTTCATAGCTGAGTATCTAACTGAAAGGAAAGACAAACTGGGAACCAGACTTATACGGAGTAATGGAAGACAAGTGATTGAGGTGTAGGCTTGGATCTGAACTGTAGAGCTTGGCCATTCATAAACTGGTTTCACATCCACTGTGGGAGATTTCTTTACCTTGGATTAGAAGCCTAACTCTTCAGCTGGGGTAGAGAATGTCAGTGGAGCTGTCCTTTTACCCGGTAAGACATGAGCTTCTTGTCTGATACGGGCCTGCTCTTTTGGCTGAAGATAGATGCATCTGTAGAGCTTCAGTTTTTCTTCAGTCCTAACCAGAATGAAGTCTTCCCAGCGTCTCTGTCACTGTGTTGTCCTTGCTGTTTTCATTCCCAGGTAATCTAAAAACTAATTATAAAAAAAAAAAAAAAAAAAAAAGAATTTGCAAGTGTTTGTGAGGCTACATACAAAGAGTTCTGTTTCATTAACTCCCACATCTTCAACACATATTTTCTTATGCATAATTATCTGTATTGCTCCAGGACTACCATTCTTAAAATGCTAGTGTTTTAACTCTCCCTGCCTTTAGCAAGCCATTTGTCTGATGAAATTTACCTTTTTCCCTAAGGTGAAGCAGATTTATTCTAATTGGATCAGGAGTTCTGTAGCAGAACTTCCCCTGTTTTCAAGATCATTCTTGAAATTTTAGGGAGGATCATTCCAAGCACGATCTATGCAGAGATGTATATGCCTCTGGGACTTGCAGTGCCTTCCCAGGTGCCGTGTGTGCTGGCATTCCTGCATTAACCTCCCAGCACAATTGGCAGTGGGAGCAATCACAAATTCAACTGTATTTTAGCCTCATCTGTTTTCTCGGCTGCACTACAGACTGAGTACAAACTCCCCAGGGACCTTGCAGGCATCCCAGATGCAGCGTCAGCTGCAAGTATGAGCAAAGAGAAATGAGAAGGGCTTTGCAGCCACTTACCCAACACCATGGTGTGGTGCAGAACTGCACGTGTTGCACTGAGGGATGCTGTGGGAGCTGCTCCAGCATCTTTAGTGTCTGGGGACACAGCCTTGGGGCATGCTTCCAGCACAAGCATGAGCTTGCTCACCCCCATCCTGCTGCCATCTCACTGCAGCAGGCATGTGTTGTTGCATTTCCCATTGTAGCCAGCCCTTAATGTTTATTGCATGCCAAATAAGTTTCAGCAGGTAGTAATATTTAATATGCATGAGTTCTCTTGGCCTTACTTAGCTGTGTTCCCAAAATCCCGTTTGTGCTGCTGACAGAGTTAGTGACTCTGAATGTCTTTTCTGATCTAGACACCAGCTTCATATTAAGCTGCATTTAGTCCTGGCAAGTAAAAGGCATAGTAAATTGGCAGGTTAGTTTTCCAAGACTTTCTTCAAGCTCCATTTTCAGAAGACATCAACATAAACGTGTCAGTACGGTACTCATGTAATGTCCATTATGGGGAAAGTTTGAAGCAAATCCTAATCCAGTCCCAGACACGTGTATGCCTTCAGCATCAGACTGATGAAATACCATCTCAGTAATGGCTGGAGAAGGAGGGTAATAGGCTGTTTGAAGTGCAAGAAGACAAAAAAGTTTACTAGAAATTAAGAGATACAAGAATTAATTCCAGAATTTTGAAGCCAGTTCTAGTGAGTAATGCCAGCCATATGTGTCACAATACTCTAATTTGAACTTTTAATCACAATTAAGAGCACACAAATTAGGTATGACATTGTATGCTTATTGTTTTAGAGGCTCTGTCACTGATTGATAGTGTATATTTGTATTAGTAGTATTAGTGCTGAAGTAATACTCATATTTAACACAATTCACTGTGTTGACTTTGACTAACTACCTTCAGATACCACCAACCTCCAGTGTAATCAATAATCATGATACTGAATCATTTCTATGCCAACAGCTATGTTTATACTGGAAACTTCAGTACAAAAACCTCAGACTCCTGTGGTGTAGCTACTGCTGAATATGATAGCAATGATTGTCATACTTTTAAGCAATATTTGTTGAATCAGGTCAAGCAGCTCCTTGGCTGGTGTAAGCTCAGCAATGCACCAGCTAGAGATTATCCAGCTACTTGTATTTTTCAGATCCCCTGCAAGGTATTTAATTTCATTTTGTGTATTCTTTCTCTACTCCTGTCATGTTCTCCCTCTTGGGGACAATGTAAATATTTCAAACCAACTTTATAAATGCTTCCTATGTTTCCAGCTAGACACCAGCTTCCATTTAAATACTTGTGCATGACCTGTGTCTGGCATGTATCCCATGGCCCAGGCTGTGCTCACCAGCCTTTACACTCGTGGTTTTTCCAACTCTAAGTGATGCGTGTGTCTGACGGAGCAGAGCCATCACTTTTTGTGCCTTCATATGCATCTGCTTTTCATCCCATCCATCATTACCACCCAAACACCCTCTTGGTCACAGGCATGGGCCATGGAGTACCACAAACTCAAACTGTCCCTTGCACAAATGAGCCCTGTCTCAACATCTGAAGAATGACTCCAGAACAAAGTGTGTTGTCCAGTTTGAGGATGCCCCATTAATTTAAAGAGTACAGCGGGAGAACAGGGGAGAAGGTGAATTAAGGAAGGGAAATCATAGACTCACAGAATGGCTTGGGTTGGAAGGGATCTTAAAAATCATCGAGTTCCAACCACCCTGCCATGGGCAGGGACACCTGTATGTATTATCCCAAATGTAACATCTGATCTGCCTTGGAGATAGAACTAGTTTCCTAGTGGACAGATTGCTCCGCTGGAGTCCCTCCTTCTTTTCTCTCTCTGCTGGGAATGGTCTCTAATGAGGAATTGTCTCTAACAAGGAAGGGCTCCCGTTGAGCCGAGTTGAGATTCAACCATCTGGCTCAAGCCTCTCTTCTCCCTCTGGTGCAATTGGCGCCGCCCGCAGAGGAGCAACGTGTTGTGGAAGGATAGGGAGGCATTGGCACATGAGAGTCGCTAAAATACCAACAGAGAAAATTCATGCCAGCAAGCACAAGAGATAAAACAAAGAAAAGTTCATTGATATCAGTCAGAAAAGGAGCAGCAGGAGAGGGCAGAGTGTGTGCAGAAAGGACGGCAGAAACACCTGCGTTGGAGGGCAGGGAAGTGCAGCTATGTACACCCAGATACCAGCGCAGTGCAGGAGGTGAAGGCGCAGGGTCTGCTGGCTGGGCCTGGGGAGTGGGCACCATCCTCCTGGCTGCCCAAAAGCCTTTAGTCAGGACACCAGTGCCTGTGTGCCCAGGCACTGTCCTCCCCTGGAGCTCAACCTACGTGCTGTGTTGGGGACCGAGGTGACACTTGTGCATGTCACCGCAGGTTTGATGAGATTCTTCATTTTGCTTATTGAATCTTTTTTTTCCTTGACTGCAGGCAGCAATGCGTTTGCGGGTACATGTGCTTGGGCAAGTGCAACAAGCAGATAGATGTGCATTGCTGAGAAACCCCTTACTCCTGGAGCTTTCAAACAAAAGCTTTCAAATGTAATTAAAAATTTGCAGGGGGAGAGTCAGATCTGAGGGGAGAGATACCAGCTTTGCTCTCCGCTTTATCTCTGAATGGAACCGTTCCTGCTGCTGGAAATGCAGCAAGAGAGAGCCCTGTGCTGCCTCAGTTTGAAGATAATAACTTTAATTTTAGCTCCGAATTCCTTTTTTTTCTTTTTTTTTTCAAAGGCAGTCTGACCTCTGACTGGTAAAGTTACTGAATTGCTCCATCTGACGTGATGAGGGGTAGCTCAACAGGTGAGAGCTGAAGCAGTTTGTATGCAGGCAAGAAATGCAGGTATTAAGAGCAGTACAGGTCGTGAAATACAAATTATGTATCCTGTATAGAAAACAAAGCCAGACTTCTTCGTCTTTAAAGAAAAAGTGATGCTTAACTTCCTTTTAAAAAGCAGTGTTTTTCTCCTGGCTCATTTCACGTGGAGGTTTGTTCTCTTTGCTTGATTAAATGTTAATCCAGCCCACCCTAAGAGTGTGCAGTTTCTTTTGTTAAGCTCTGGACTTCTGAACACTGTAGATGAAGGAGAGGGTGGCATCAATCACAGGCACAGCAAGAGCGGAAGACGGAAACCAGTGCTAATGCAATTAGCACATTTATTTGTCATGCATCAGAGGAGCTGAAGCCCTCCTTGGCACAGGAGCTCCGACTCCCGGCAGCAGCCCGATGGACCAGGTTGCTGCTGGGAGGGACCAGAGGCCTTGATCCCTCTGGAGGCAGGAGCTGCTGTGTCCTCTGTGCCTCAGCCCCGCTCATCCAGCCAGCCCTTGCACCAAGCTAACATCCTCTGAAGTCTCCACCTTTCCTCCCACCAGCCTTGCAGGATGTCACCCTACTGTCCCCAATTGAGGTGGCAGTGCGGAGGCTCAGCAACACTCACAGGTGCTGAAGTGACAAAGAATGACAAATGAAATCTGCAGTGCTCACATCGGGTGATGCCTCTCGGCTGCCCAGCCATAGCCAGAGGCCATGCAGCCCTTTCCTCGCTTGTCTGAGCTGTTCTCTGCAGCCGACATCCTCAGCTCCATTCAGTGCACTCCATTTACAGTCGCCATCTGTTCCCTTTAATGAGAGAGCTATCAATTTTTTTCACCTGATTACTGATTGTTCCAGACTATTGTTGATTGCTTTGTTTTATTAATTACTCATTTTGACATGCTGTATCTGTCCCTTTTGTTCCGAAAACAGATGCTCTTGTTTTCGAGCATCATTACTGATGGTTATTGCTAATAAGATAAAGCCGCAGCTCCAGTTTAACTGAGGGGCTTAACACTGTGGCTCCAGTTATTCTAGTGTTTCGTCACTGGATATTTTAGTCAAGCCTGAGAAAAATATTTCTTTTTTAGTGCCACAGGGGCTCACATCACTTGAAGGAAAGGGACTTTTCTGTGTTCTTTGATGCATAGAGCAATGGGGTCCATAGCTGTTGCTGTTCCAAGAGACTGTGATTAAGCAATCAACAATACTAATGTCATTGTGAAATCACTTACTCATCCCTGTTATTGTGGTTAAGAAAGGCTGCAGGTTCCCATAAGAAACTTCTCAAGTCAAACTCATTTCCTCAGTGTGTTTGGAACTAAGCAGAAGTTGCTTTTCAGCTTGTCAGACAAGGTTCACCACGTCTTAAAAATGAAAATGTAGTGGTCTATTAGCAGCGGGGGAGGTAACAGCACTGCACCAGTTGAAAGAGTTTCCACTAACAGCTGCTATTTTAAAATACTATCTCAGTATTGTGTTAATCCTTGGAAAAACTGTCTGTGTGTGGAGTCGAAATGGAAGCCACGTCATTGCTTTCTGCTGGAATTAGATACTCACTCAGCTCAATTTTGAGGAAGTATTTATGAGGTGAAGTCAATTCTTGCAAAACATGGTCTCATTCTGCAACAAATCCGATTGCTGATACTGTGCTTTCACTGTGCTTATTCCCAGCTCCGGGCTCATGCGGTGGATATGAATGGAAACAAGGTGGAGAATCCTATTGACCTGTACATCTATGTGATTGATATGAATGACAACAGACCAGAGTTTATAAACCAAGTCTATAATGGATCTGTTGATGAAGGCTCTAAACCAGGTACAGTTGAAAAAAAAGTCTTAAAAGTTTCACAGGCATTCCAACATGAATCTGGTGTGGTGGCTTCACCTCCTCTTGAGATAGAGGGAATGCAGGAGAGGTTTGCTGTTGCTAGCTCTTTGTTGAAGGCTGTTGGAGGTGAGAACAATCTAGCTAGTGTATCTATCTTTCTCTAGATGCAGAGAAAGTGCAGACTGGGGTAAGAGTGAACCTGGATCCTGGTGGTTCCTTCCTAGATGTGGAATTTGCAAAAGCAGCAGTTTTGTAGAATAATGCTCTGTGTTGCCATTCTCACGTGTACAGGGTTGTTAGTTTAACTAGAAAGTGCTGACAGCCAACCTGGCAGTGGCCATTCCTTGACCTTGTGCCTGAAATGCTGAGTATCTGCCTCTATGATACTTAATCTCGTCATTTGCTAACTCAGTATCTGGTATCCACTCCAAAGAGGTCTCTGTGAAGGTGTGAAGATAATCCTTTCTTATTTTGGGCCAGATGGAAACCTGTTGAAGTGGGAATGTTCCCACTGAAATAGTTGATTCACCCTCCACCCTGTGGACTTTCTTATGGAGGGAGAAATGGGGGAAAACAATCTGTGGGTGAAAAATTAGTGAGGGAGTAAGCTATATGCAGAATACAAATGATGATTTTTACATGACCATGTTTATATTCTTGGAAAAATACCGTTATAAGGGTCTTTCATGTTTTCTTTTCAACTATATTGTTGATTTATTATTTAAGCGCAGTGTAACCCTGCAGTTTCCAATATTGGTAGCAGGGTTGTTTTAGCTTATTGCTAAGCATAAGTAATCTGAGCATATTCATTCTCAGAACATAAATTATACTGTGAAAACTGTCAGCAGTACAATTGGAAGCCTCCTGAAATCAGAGGCAGATTTTTCCAAGGTAGATTTTATCCTCAGTTGTTTGTTGGCTGAGGGGGTTGAACCCCGTCTGACATTATTTGGTGTCAGCAAACATTTATCACGGCTTCTCCCTCGCCTGAGGTGTCATAGGAAAGTCTCAGGGGGCCACTGGTTGTAATCAGGTGATTACAGGCATGATTGATTGTCTTTCAGCACTGTGAGGAATGGGCTACTGTGATGGCATGCAGTGGGAACAGAGCGTGATCTTATTTTTGAGGAAATAATAGGTACAGCTCCGTTCCTGATGTGCTTTGGGTGGTGATGTACTGGCTTCAAAGTGCTGATCCTGGTCCTGCTCAGCACAGGGGATGTGAGAAGTCCCTGAGCTGATGCTTCTGTTGACATCTACCTAGAGGGTTTTCTGGCTTTCGTTTGAAGGCCACTTAGGGGCATATCAAGGTTTGAAGACTGATACAACACTTCCATAACAAATCATATTTCTTACATCTTATTCTAGGACAGATCAATATTCAAAGTGTTCCCAAATGTTCTAACTAGCTCTGCTCATTTGTGTGAAAGAAGCGGTAAATTGATTGCATCCTCTTCTTGTCTGAAATCTAGATAAGTCTTTGTGCTATTAAATCAAAGTAGGATAATTTTGCCTACAAAATACTTCTGCCTCTTGCTTCTATCAGTGATTTTTGGTGTTTTGTATCTCAGGCTGGAGTGCCTGCCTTTAAGGCAGGCAGGTAGAAAGCAATCTGGTTTTATTCAAAAGCAATTACATTTGTCTTTGATGTGTTTGTTGGGTCTTGGTTTTTTTTTCCGTCTTTCCTGCTTAATCGCTGTTCTTTTAAAGGTTTATATTAGTATTGAATTGCTGTTCTTAGCTTTTGTAGATCCTCATGGGAATTTGGGTGTCTGAGGCCCTCATTCCATGTACTTGGCAATAAACACGATGCTGTGTCTTTGAGAAAGTGATGGAGAGGTCACAGAGTTTCTGTGGAGGTCTGCATGCTCCTCCTTTGCCACAAAGTTCCGTATCCCTGTTCCGCATAGAGACAAGCCTAGACAATGTATTCAGCTAAGCATAGATCTTGCAGAGATTTGGAAACGTTTTTATAGTTCAGGATGCTTCAGAGGATTATAGTAACGAAGGAGGTGCCACACCAGCCGTTGCCAGAATAAAAATATGCAGCCAGAATTCATGATTATTTGTGGCACTGGTCGACAAATGAAAGACATTGCATATTCCTGGAGGTAACGGCAAAATGTGTTCAATATTGATTCAACAGTATGTTATATATGTCTATGCATCTATAAATATGTATATGCATATGTGTGTATATCCATGTATAAAGTACAGATTTGCTTTAAGCAAACTAAAAAAATCTCGTATGTTAGAGGAGTTCAGCATTCATTTTCCACTGTTCATTGCTACTCAACTGTGCCTGAGGACTAAAAATGCTTCCCTGGATATCCTGTACAATTGTTATTTCTCACATCTTCCATATGCCCATTTATAATGGCTGTGATTAAAAATGCAGTGTTACTCGATTACCACAGTATCTGCAAGGTTCTTCATAATTTTGCACACCTCTGATGAGAAAAGTAGTGTGTTAGAGTATCCCAGATAAGTGCTGACTCTGAGGGTAGCTAATGTGAGCAGCCAGTGATTGGGTGAAGTCAGTAGGAATTTTGCCCAGATTTAAAAAAAAAAAAAAAAAGAAAAGAAAACTGGGACGTACGGAGCTGAAGCTCTACCCATGGAAATTTTGAAGAACAAGACCATCAGAAATATGCTGTTGAGCACAGACTGAGCAGGGTGCAGTGACCTTGAGCTGCGGGGAAAGCCCTGTAAAGCTTTAGCAGGATCAATAGAGCAGATCCCATTCAAAGTGAACAGGAAGGGCTCAGTGGTGCTGTTAGAGCACACCCCGGGGAAGAGGGCAAAGCCAAGCACCTGGAATGCAGGCAGGGCTGTGTCTCCAGGGATGCTGCAGTACCAGAGGCAGCGTGGTGCCCTTGTAGCAGCCAGGATGCTGTGAGCTGACTGAGAGCACTGTGCCTCATCTCTGACCCTTGTAGGACAGCTGCAAATTGTTCCTGGCCATGGCAGGGGATGCAGGGTGGCCAAGGAAGATGTGACCTACTGACTCAACGCTGAATAAGCCAAAAGGAGGTAGAGTGAACCAAGAAAATGCGGACGCAGGAAGGATGTGTACTCCAACCTGTGGCACAGTGTGATCCTGCTGGGCATTTAGCCTCCCACAGAAGAAGCAAGTTTGCTTTAGCCTGAAAGACAAATATCCTCCAAAAGGGATTGTCCAAGAGCTGTAAGAATTGGCAGCAAGGTGAAGAGACTCATTTGAGACAGTTTGATGGAGTTTAAGTGAAGGGGTTCCCAGACTGCAAAGTACTCAGGCTGCCTGGGTTTCCAAAGAGTGTGCTCTTTGCAGTGTGCAAGTCACCTTGAAGCAACCCTTGACAGGAATAGAAAAGAAATCATCAAGTATTATTAATTAAAATAGGTTGTTGTTGCTGGTTAAGATTGTAATAACTTAACTGAAATAGTGTCTTACACCATGGCCTAGTGTTCTTGAAATCAGAAGCTCATTCTTCGTGGAGTAAAGTCCTCTGTAGTGCAAACACTTGTGTCAAAGCCTGGCCCCTGTACATCTTCAAATGTGTGCTGGCTCTTAAACTGAATTGCATTTCTTTCTCCTTTTCTGACACTCTCTGGAAAACATTTTAATGCACTTCTAGCTTATCTAGCCTAAGGTCATGCAGCTGGACAATTTAAATGTGCAAATGCAGACCCTTCCAAAAATGCAGAACAGGAATAGTGATGCAGGGTTTTCTTTTCCAAAAGACCATCTTTCTTCCTTTACTCTCTCCCTCCATGAGCTGTTTTGATTTAACACGACACTGTTTGAAAGTGTATCTTAAAAGACCGTGTTTTACTCATATTGAATAATGTTCTGCCTCTTTGAACTTTGCCTCTATATGAAGAACACAGCCAAGTTTTAAAAATGCAGCTGCAAGCTCAAGCTGAAATCCCCCTGGTCCCTCTGGCAGCCTTAATCAGCAGAGTTCTCCTGGAGCTGCAGAACTTGCCTTTCAAGCACCGATAAAGCCGGATGGGTTGCACGGCTTCGCTGCCCAGCGCTGCCTGCCCTGCGAGGATTCTGCTGCCTTTTCAAAGCCCACGTCTCTGAGCTGCAGTGTGCAAGCTCCACCACCTTACAGCAGAAAGGAGCTGGGGCCTGGGGTCTACAACACCAATTACTGCTTGCTGTAAGCCCAGCCCTGCACTTGTACCTCTGAGCTTGCAGCATCCCGGGGGTGTCTGTGGGGAGTGCTGTTCTACAGGTTTTGCTCAATAAGATAGAATGAAAATGCTTAGATGTAAAAGAAAAAAGGGGAATTTAATCACAAAACAAAACCATGATCGAGAGAAGTTGTTTTCTTCACTGCAGAAGCTTAGTTTTGATATAATCACCACAAAATGTACCTTATGGTAGAATGTGGATGTCTCACTTAACTGAAGCATTCAGTTCTGAAAAGGTCAATGTGAAATGCACTGCAGCGACTCGAGTGCTTTGCTCTGAGTTGTATCTATTTTGTTTTAACAGAAAGATTGTCAGAAATTAACACATCTCTCCGAAATAATTTGTTCTTGTCAGACTGGCCTTTTCCATTCCCATTCATCCTTTCCACTTCACTAACTTTCTGAATACATCTTTCAAGTCAAAAGCAGAAGTCCAAGTAGCTTCTTTTAGAGTTTCATCCATCTCTTTCTTCCTTATGTTGCTGTGTAGGATAGTTTCCTCCTGCCACCCTCCCTGGGAGTGGTGTGAATGATGCTGAGTATGGACAGTCCTCCAAAACAAAGGAATATTAGTATTTCTTACATGAGGAATGATGTCATTTAAAATCTTCCAATCTCCTCCTGATTTCATGGAACTCTGATACAATAATTGTTGATGGCATGCCATGTGAAAAATGGAATAGCTGGGAGCCAAATCTATATGTGGCAAATTAAGTTTAAAGAAATCTCATAAAAATAAGCACTATATAAAAACCCAAGGATTTCAAAAGCCGATTATTCTACTAGTGTCCCAGTTTGTTTATTTT